GCACTCTCCATTACTCTGTCATAAAACATCATATGATATTATGCAGTCTCTATTATTAATGTTACTTACCTATAGGTTAAACCATATCTTTGCTCTTATTCTTCCTGTGAAGCTCTGAATGCAGAGGATTAGTGAATTTAAGTTTTAAATACCACTGTAATAAATACCTTACTAAAAGGAAGTGACAATCTTGTGGTTAGATGGACTTTCTTCTCCATAAAAAAAAGCATGAAGCCCCAAAGAGAAGCAGAGCTTACTTTTGGAAATTTCTGTGGTAGAACTGAGGTCTAAAAGGTTCTGAATCTGTTTTAGCTTTCTGTTCCTGGCTTCCTCACAAATTTTTCCATAAATATAAAATACTTAGTTATGTTTTTAAATTAGTTGCTCAGTATGGGTTTTGTTCAACTCTGAAAGGCTTTGGTGCTCAATCCAGGTAGAGGGAAACCATCTGAGATAATGATGAGATTTCAGACATTAAATCTAGATGCACTTTTAAGATAGATACCCCCAGTTTATTCTTAAATAGGAAAAACAGCATTTACATTTTGAACTTTTCTTGCTCTTAATATCACAATTGTACTGCTAGAGATTAGAAAATCTTTTCTTCTGCTGCTAACAGCTGCAAATAAGTTAATCTCTGGGGAAAAATTTGGCTCCCACATTTGCAAAAAAAAAAAAAAAAGCCATCTGGTTCTAGGAGTCAACTGAGAAGTTTACTTCGAGGAGCAGGTTAGAAAAAAGGAGCCTTTCACTTTTCTGAGCTGCTAGCTCAGTTAGTGTGCACTGATTAAAAGCATCAGTTGCCAGGAGAATCTTGACTTGGAGGTCAGTGTGGAAAAATCCAAGTAGGGTAATAAAAGGGCCTGTTAATGCTGTGAGAATTCAGGCTTTTCCTGTTCAAGTACTTCAGGATTAGCTTCCAGAGCCTAGTTTGAAGCTGCCTCATGTTTTTTAACAGCATGTCCTAGAAGAGGGGAACTTGTAGGACCCTTGGTGCCCTTCGAAAGAACAAACGATACTGTTGCTGATTGCAGGATAAGCAGGAGTATTTCTGTGATATTGCTGATGTTTTGATCAAACTGGGTGCTTCTTTCTTTTTTTCTTTCTAAGATTCTACAAGTGGCTCTTAAAATCATTCTGAAATAGTGGATGTGGCTACCAGAATATCTGTAAAGGCTGAAGGGGAAGAGGAGGAGCCCTGTAACTAATGGGATTTATTTGAAAATTAGAAGCAGTAGAGGTGGTTGAACTGGGGCAACATCTGGAATTTCTTGAAAGATTTTGGATCGTGTAGATTAAAATTTCTGTTTACGTGCAGATATTGTTCTGTTGTGGCCTTCTACTTAGGCCTACCACAGACAACAAACATTCTTATCTTGGTTTTACTAGTCATGCCCATGACTTAGTTGGCAATAATAGGAACACCTGTTGTCATTTCCACCAGAGAGAAGAGCAGCCTGAGATACTTTCTAAAGGGGGTTGCTCAAGGCCAGGATTGAGATCTACTGGTTGGACAACATGATTGCCATGAACTGAACTGCCATGGTTCATATCTGTCCTGTAGCTGAAAGACTTCACGCTCTGGCATTGTCTGGCACCTGTTAGGAGTAATAATTCATGGGAAGGGACTGACTCTTCCTCCCTGCTTTCACACACAGTATAGCGATTTAAGTAATTTTTGATTATTATGCATTTTCAGGATGTGTTTGCCCATGGGTTTGCTTTTTTAAGATGATGAATTAAAATCAAACATTAGCAAGATTTAATAATACTTGGTAGTTTTATGAAATTGGCAACTTCTCTTGGACATTTGGGAGACCGTACAATGCTTTACTGCTAACTGCCACAGAGGATTGGCTTAGTGTTTCAGCCTTGTGCAAGTGGTTGCAGGCTGCTTTTCACCAAGTCTCTTACCCCGTGGAGAGAGTGAGTGAGCGAGCGCTTCGGTCTAGTAAACAGCTGCACGGTATTACAGTGATGCATACCACATATTCCTCGGCTTCCAAATGCTTGTGTACCAAATCTGTTCCAACACATGACTGAGATGTGTAATTTCTAGTAGTGAATTTCTCAGCTTTCTCAAGAAAGCAGAAAAGAAGTGTAATTGCTGGCTTTTATGTATGCTTTTAAAACATAAATTAGTTAAGTGTTACCTATTAATTCATCTCACCTGATGTCTTTTGCAAGGGCCCCCAGACTTCTTCCTTCCCTTGCAATCTAGTTCTACCTAGAAAAACAAGAAAGAAAACGTTTCTCGTGAGAATTGCTCAGCAATTACAGTGATTGTGTGAATAATATAATCTACAAAGAAATATTTTACACTTACGTGTATATTGGATTCGTATCGTATTTGTACACGTATTCGTATGCACGTGTGCATATACTGTTTGTACTAGTTATATAAAGGCCATCACATTTGGTTTGGGGATTTTCAAATGCATGATAGCTCTTTGCAGAAATCATCCTTTGAGTTAAGCAGCCAGCTCACGTGCACATATTACTTCTTTGTTTCCATTAAAGTCAAAGGCTTGTAGAGCCTCTTAGGAATTTAGGTAAGACTCTTGACAATAATGATAAAAGAAGAAAGTGGTCCAGATGTACTCTTTATGTACAGAAATATTTGAGGAATATTCTTTTCCTGAATGGCAACGTGGGTGTGTAAGATTCTGCTGAATTATCAAGCCATATAGTCCACCACTGTGCTTGAGATATGAGTGTCCTCTGTTATGTCGTCTCTGTATCTTGCTTGCTTATTGTGCATGGGGTGGGAAGGTCATGTGTTCAGAGCCCAGCAAAGCCTTGTGCTGCCCTGCTCCTTCACAAAAAGCATGTCTTCTGGCATCAGTGTGGTTCATGGGGGAAGAGTCATACCATCTAAGATTAGGAAAATTGATTTCCTTATACTCCATCTACGCATGGAGGGAGGAAAAGGCAGCTCAAAGGAGGAGCTGAATTTCACATAATTCGTGAATGCAGACTTTGCACACAACTTTTTCTAATATAGTGTCCTCTGTCTCTTTGGCATCCTTGGGGAGGGGAAATGGGACAAGACTGTGAGTGAGTCACCACCAGAAACTTTCGTACCTGTCAGACTGTGTGATTAATGTTGTAATAGCCCAGATGGTCTTTTGGTCTTTGATACTGAAGCCAGGGTGTGTATATGTGCCATAAGGAAACGTGGGACACACTTATTTTTAAAAGCAATAATAGAAAACAATACCACGGAAGCGCGGAGTTAAGTAGGCTTTCCTCTGGTTTATGTTTCATGAGGTAGTGTGTGTTCATCTTTTCAGTTGCTTAAATATAGCTTTGTGTTTTAATATTTGTCTGTCCTGAGTCTCAAGTAATATGTTTGAGACCTTGTACTCTGGAAATGATTGGTGAGCCAGCCCTCAAGTGTAAACTTAACTTCTACCAGTGAGTAAATTCTAATTTCAGTTGAATTTATAGCAGTTCACCAAATGAAATAAACTGTACTAGGACCAGGATTTCTGTTTTTTTTGGTTGGAGAAGTTTTGATCACTAAGATCTGAAGAGGAACAAATGTGGTGGAGTGACAAATCAAGTTGCAAAGATGCTAACAATGCTGTCTTGAATAGATTTAAGCAGAGCAGGCAGAGACTTAGATGTGACATAAATTGAGAATGACAAAAGAGTGTGGACCAGAATATGCTTTTCCTAGAGTGGTCAGTTTACTGCTTGCTGGAAATGTCTAATTTACTAAAATAGTTAATTGTTTGTGGACCACTCTTTATTATCCCCTTTGTTTGAATCCCATAGCCCTTTGTCAAGCAGTCAAAAGTGTTTCCATTGCTGAAGTGAAATGTGAATGTCCTGTAGGATATGACAGGGCATATGTGTGGAAGGTGATGGGGATGCAGGCATCCTGGTCAAGACCAACTCCGCTGCTTTAAGTAAAATTGGGAAAAACACATACGCAACTCAGAATTGGCTAAAGACATGCAGAAGTCAAATTTGTGTCCAGATTAGGGGCCCAAATGCCTAGGAAAGTAATATGCAAAACCCTACTGCAGGTCTAAGATTTGGTATTGTGGTTTTCTAGTGTGCATGGCTCTGGTGAACTGGCAGCACTTTTTCAAGGCCTATATACTAATTTAATTTCCTTTTGTATCTGGTTATTGTATTTTTTTTCCTGAAGTCACTGATTACTGGGATGATCTTTTGCCTGGTGTTTTAAGATCATCAAAAAGGTCTACTAGACTTTTTTTTCTTCCCTGATGCGAGTAATTTTTGGGCTGACAACTCTCAAACAAAATGTTCTGTGGAGCATTTCTAGTCTTGTATGTTGTCCCTGTAGCCATATATCATGCAGCTCAGAACTTGTTTGTTTGTTTAGTGATTCTCATTCTAATTTTGCTTGGGGCTATTCTTAATGAATGGAAAGCAAAATATCAGAATAGAGCAAAGGGTAAAGATCTGATGACAACCTGTGGAGTTGTGTTACATTCTGTTAATAATAGACACATAGGACTTAGTCTAGGAAAAATTATAATATAATCCAACAATATAACCAAATCCTGATTCATTGGGATATAAAAAGGTGCTCTTGGTTAAAATTGGGTAAAAGTAGAATTAACTCAGTCCATTTTGATGAAGACACTTTAAGTATCCCTGACACTTGCATAGCTAAGACTTCATCTACAGAATTTTAGGGGTAAATAAGTATAAAAGACCCAAACAGCTGTTGAGCATATGGCTTGTATTTTGGCATTGCTCTAATTGCCTGAATCTTAGAAAATTAGCATAAATGATTAGGTAGCTATTGAATGTATGTGTATATTTGTGATATAGTCTATGCGTGCGTGTGCTGACCTGAATTTTTTATTTTTATTTCTTTTCTCTGGAGAACATCTTGTTTATTTCTTTTCATGGCTCGCACTTAATACTCTTTTGATTGCAATATTATAAATAGCTTCAGCTAAATATATTTCTAAGGTATCCAGGTGAAAAACACATATTTATGTTGTGCTTTCTTGCAGGGGCTGGTGTTTTTTTCCTTTCTTGTGCTGAAGGAGAGCAGATCAGCTTTCTGTTCGACTGTATCGTCCGTGGCATCTCCCCGACGAAAGGCCCTTTTGGTTTGCGTCCAGTCCTACCAGGTTAATATAGGAAGTATAGAGTAACTGAGCAAAGTAGGAACTTGCCATGTTTAGCACTTATTGCTGTGATTGTAAGAGCAGCTTGCAGACACTAAGGGTGTAGAAAGTGCAAAGTGGTTTTCATTCTGAAATGTCACAGTACAGATTTATCAGTTGAACGTACCCAATTTCCACCTGCTGCTCTGGTTCATTCATATTTCTGGTGATATTGCTAACTTTAGCCTCCTCTTATTTAACAGTACTAAAACATGGCAATTTGAATTGAAAGGGACCCTAACCTTTATTTTTAAACTTACACAGTGCAACTTGGATCCATGTCTGCATAACTATTTTGATAGCTTAGTAGAAAACTTAACTTCTGGGGCATTCTAAGTTCATCCAAAATACTTAGAATTAAGTCTTCCCAACTTTAGAGAACTTTGTAAGGCTCCCACATCGCATTTCAGTTTTGCAGCCTGAGCTTATTTTCTGATGCGCAAGGATTAAATTCCTTTTCCTATTTCATGGTAAATGCTGCATGCACTGTAATGTTCAGAGAGGAAATTAGATGGCATCATAGTAAGACCTGTTGCCTTTTGACTTTAGCAGATGAAGAAATATAATATTGAGTTGGAATGACTCTGTCAAACAAGGCAAGAGTGTGGAAATGAGATTGCAGAAAAATACCTGTGAATTGGCAGTGGGATATAGTGGGAGTAGGCTACAAGAATGGTGAAGGATGAGGTGGGATTTGTGGGAAATACTTAGGGTTTCTGCTTAGGTGTTAGGCAGTTAATAGGTGTTTGACAGGGTTTTTTTGCTGTTACAAGATTGAGATAATTGCAGGAAGGAAATGTGATGGAAAAGATTAGATCTGGGTGCAAAACTTGTGAAAATAAATTATGAAAAGTTAGTTAAGATAAATGCAGTAGCCACAAGGCTCAGTTCATCTCTCCCTTCCCATAGTTGTAACATCGAAGTAAATAAAATAATCAAGCAGAATAGTGGTCAATAAAACCTCATTCTTCTTATAGTATGATCTGTGTGCATTCAACTAAGTGAAGTGTTAAAAAAGAAAGTAAACAACAAAAAACCAACAACAGAAACCCTCAAAACAGTGACAATACTTAAACCTTTGCTATCGAATGCATATTTTTCTGCATATCTAAAACTGTATTACACATACACAACTCCTAAATCTTTCATTTAATAAAAACTTTTATCCAGAAAAATAAGCCTATGAGCAACTATTCTGTCATCTCTTTTTAAATTTTTTTTTCAATTTTAGTTTTAGAAGGCACATTCTTTGAAAAATCTTTTTTTAGAGGCATGTAGAAGTAAATCTGCCTTGCCGTGTTAGTTATCAACTCTGGTGGTTATGCATTGTTATACATAGCCGCATAATGTATTCCCTTCCCTCCTTCAAGAGCTCTGCTCTCAATGAAATGCATAAAGTGGATGTGGAATATCCTGGGGATGATTTGGTGATTTTTGTAAGGGAAGACCTCTTTTCTGAAGGTCTTTTTCATTTGTTTTCTGTGCTTGATGTACTTGCCACTAAAATGAGGTGAAGATGAACTCAGCCACTTTGATTTCACCTTGTTTCCCTGGATAGGAGCAGTATTCTGTAGAGAATTGTGCTCACGTTCTTGCAGACTCCTCTGCAGACCTTTTCCAAGATACTTTAATCCCTCTAACTTATATTTCTCTGTATCTTTTACCCTTGTCTCTTCCAGTTTTTTGTCATGCCCTATGTAAGCACCCAAATTTTTGTTTTTTATGTTTTTTATGTTCTCCTTCATTTACATTTACATTTCCCATGCAGAAGCTTGCACAGACCTGTTTGAGGCACATGCACATGTGCAATAGTAGTGATTCATCCATAAACTAATTTTCTTTATCAAGTATTCTGTTACTCAGAATGTATTGTATTGCTTGAAAAGGTCAAGTCTCTACCAGCTGCATACTGTATCTGGCAAGAGTATTGAAGTTCATCCAACCTTTTGAAAGGATTAATTATTAAATAGATTAATCATCTGCATACTTCAGTAAACTAGATCAAAACTTCCAGGTTGGGGATTCTACCAAGAAGCCTCTAATCAATGTTATTCTTATTTACTGCAGTGCAGAATGCTATACAGCCTCAGCTGTGCTTTATATATGCAATGTTCTGCTTTTGTGTAATTTAAGAACTTTTATAGGAAGCAGCCTTCTCTCCACAATTTGCTATTTGAATTTGGCTTCTTGCTGTTGCCTGTACCTTTCCAACTTATACATGAAATATGCTTGACTAACTTAGGTATTTTCAAGAAATGAAAACACAAAGGGCAGCTGTACAGAGAAAAGAATATAATGTGGTGAAGCAAATGTCACATTGGCAGCGTTCTTGGATGCCAATACCCACAGAACAAATATAATCTAGAGACATTATGCATTCAACATCTGCTTAGCCTGTCTTTGGAAAAAGGGTAATGAATGAAGCCAGTGGCTTCATGTACAAACAACTCAGTCATATGGTTAAATAGAGTGCTGAAATATTTGTTAGCATGAAATTAATAGAAACTGGGTTGAAGAGGACTGGAAAATTACCAGTTTTCTTACTTTTACTTGCCATAGCAATTCATTAAACAAATGTAAACTGCCCAGTATCCAAAAGGAGTTTGTAAACTGCATGTGCAAGGTATATTTGCTCAAGTACAATATTCACATCTTCTTTTCAGGACTGTAGTTTTAAAACATATACCTTAATTCCTTAAAAGCTTGGTGTTCTTATAACATAGATATATGATTACTGTATGTATTTTATTATGCCATCTATAAAATATGTAATTAAAAGCTGTGCAGTGGAACTCATAAACTTGACTAACCATTGCAAGGTATCAAAATCTGGTCTAATCTCTCATAGCTGACCTGCTCTGAGCAGCAGGTTAAACTACAGAACTCCTGAGATCCCTTCCAACCTGAATTATTCTGTGACTTTTTGGAAATGGCTATCAAATGAATGTGAATATTCTCATGATAAAAATAATTCTATTTTTGTGTATATCCAAAATAAAACGGAAAAGGAAAAGAACATTCGATGTTTTACAGTTTACTACTGTGTGGTATTTATTTTGGGAGTCCATTAACTCTACAAAATTGCACCAAAATACTCCAATAGGTAGCTCCATTAGCAGATTGGTGGGTTTGATTTATTAAAGGTTGCATAATCAGGTCTCAAATTTAAGACATTACATTGAGTGGGAATGCAAAGGTAGTGTAGGCATCTGCAGATGTTTTTAGGCAGTGTAGTGTTTTAAATCAGATGCAAATGTGTGACAGATGTCTTTGGTTGGCTTGTTTTCCTCAGCTACTAGTTGCAAGATAATTGCTGTAATTGGTTACTTGCAATTTTCAACATTTTTTCTTGAGAAGTTACTTAGAAAACAGACCAGAGAATTTTATATTCTTGTCTTGGCAGAAGTCTAGGTATTGACAGAGTAATGAATCACTGATTGCATGGTTTGTAACCTATACTGAATTTGCATGCATATTATTTGAGAAATGTTTGTTTATCAGATGTGTGTTGAATTTCTTCTTTTCACTAGCAAAATTCATCTTGAATGCCAAACATGAACACAGCAAAGGCCCAACATCCGATCAGTGATATCTTTGATCAGTGGGCAGATCAGTACTCTCTAAATCTGGCTAAGGCTATGGGACAATCTAGTCCTGCAGGCTGGAAAGACCCCAAGTGTAATGGTGATATTCTTGACGCTCTCTTTTAATTTTGGAAGCATTTTCAGGCTGCTTTGTGACTGACTGGAGAGAGTGCAGTGCTGCTTGCTGAGAATCTATCTGATCCTCTTTCTTTTTGTTGAAGCTTGATACACCTTTGGCCATTGCAAGACAGCTCTGTGGCTGCCTTCTGCAGTATCTGTACCAAGTGGATCCTCCTCAAACTTTTAGGACATCTTTTCATTCCTCCAGACATCTTACAAGGTGTGGAGATGTTAGCATGAAGGTGAGGGTCCAGGCCTGATTTGCAAATGTGCCTACAGTTAGAAAGGAAGAAAGAAAGAAAGAAAGGAGAGATGTTCAGCCTAACTTATCTAATTTTGTTTAATGAAGTAATTAACCAATGTTGCATTTTAAAGATGCATATAATCAACGATATCTTAGGTCGCTGCTGACTTAACTTGATACAATACATTTTTTCCTGACAGGTGCTTACTGAACAACCCTGGAGCTTTGAATTACTGTGACACTTTATTCATATGTTACCAAAATATTTGAAATCTCCCACGATGAGCAGCTGATGAATATCCACCAATGTAATATAAAACTAAAATCTCCATCAGAGACATTTTTAGTCCAGCTAAATTTGATGTAATCCTTCCCCTTTGCCCCAAAGCAGCGTTTAAGAAGATTTCAACGATTGCCTCACACAAAAGATTTTTCTTCATAGCAAGGGATCCATTTTTGTTTGGAAAATGATCGAAACACTTTCTTAATTGAAGGGCCTGAGTGAATCTAACTGTCTAGATTCCATGGGATTAAATCACGTTATAGGATACGTTTGTTTAGCATTTGGGAAATGAAGATACTAATTGCTCTTAGAGTTGCTGGAGATACTGTAGGATGGTGTGTGGGCAGAAGCTGTCTGAACTTCCTTGGACAGCTGTCTCAGTACCGATCGTGCTGCTTGTGTCCTCCTGAGTTAGTAATATGGCAAATTACCACAGAGTTAATTAGAGGCTTGGTATTGTGCATGCACAAGGTATAGGATGATGCCAAGAAATCCAACTTTACTGTTGATCAACCCCTTGTTTTTACCATTTTTAGTCCATATTTCTACACTTACATGACAGGAGGTTGTAGGTTATGCCCTCCAGTAAGGACTGGTCTCTAAAAGGTGGCTGCCAGTGACTTCAGTCCTTAGTCTGATCTTGAAGCAAAAACTCCTGAATAGTGCTTGGTAGTCTGTAGCCAAAAATACTGGTATAAGAATCTGCTGCTTCTGGAGAATAGTATTGTGTGGTTTCCTATAGAAGTCTTACTTCTTAGCAGAGATTAAAGGCAAGACAAAGACTTCAGTAAGACTGATGGACAATTATTTTAAATATCTGCCTAAGACAGTAAGTTTATATATGTTTGGCAGGTTTTGAAGTTGTTTCTCTAGATATTTCCTAGTACATGCTGAGGAAGGATTCTTCTAATCAATCTTCCACAAAATTGGGCAATGAGCACATAACTGTGAACCCAATTTTATACACAGCTTTTATAGATAAGCAATCCTTAGGAGGAAGTTTAACAAAAAAATTATCAGTCCTGTTGGACAGACAGTATACCTAGACGTTTCATGTTGCGTGAAACCTGCTGTGTTCTGTAGCTCTGTGGCTTATAGGGAATTTGGCTTCTAGAAGCAATTGAACTTCTGAAATGCAAACTTACTGATTTGCTTCAGCTTCTCTCTGACCTCTCCATCTTGTATTTTATTATAGGCCATTTTTGCAAGATCAGTTGCTTGACCATTTAAAAAAAAATTATATCTTTTGCTGTAAGAGGGATATCAGTTACTAAAAACCTTATATTTGTGTATGTGCCCTAGTAACATTCTGAAAATGTGTATTTATTGAGTAATCATATTCTGAGGAAAGTGGAAAGACCTTTCCTACTGACAGTTCTTTGCTGTGCGAAGGGTTAGTGTCTGTTGCATCTTGGTTTGACTAATTTGCTGATCTGCTATGCCAACTTTATACTCAAAGTGCTTGTGGAACATCTTTGTTGAACATTTTTGGACATAAGGACTTTTAACTAGATACAGCAGAGTAACTGCAGCAGAGCACATTCAAAAACAGATTCAAGCAGCAGCCTGTAAACTGTATGCCACTGAGCAGATCCTTGCATAGACCTGCCTGGGTTGCACCATAGGTGCTGGTGGCCAAATCTTGTATTTTCCTTTGGCAGAGGTCCATATGGAAGCACTGGGGGTTTCGTTTGAGTAAGCAGTTACACAGGTTCGAACTAGTCGATGCCTAATACGAGTTGTATTGCAGGGGAGATAGGAATGGAGACCTAATAAACCATATCAAACTGTCTTCTTTTCTTTTCTTAAAGTTGTCTGGAAGGTGTCAGATACTGACATCAAGCACTGTTTGAGCTGGGAGGCACAGAGGTCACAGACCCTGTTTGTTGCAGGCTTTGTTGCCATGTCCCTGGTAGAATATCTTGGATTTCCAACATATGCTGTTATAGGACCGTGTGTGTGTCTGGCTTGTTCTGCTAATCTTATCCAGATTGCAGACTGCTAAAGATGGAAGCCCCCTCTACATGGGAGAGAAAGCTCAGCATTGTCGTTTCTGCTCCTGTGATGCACTTGGATCTATCCAGGGCAGATTGGAAAGTGAATATGGTTGGGGAGGAGAGATGTGGCAGCTTGTTTCTCAGGTAGCTAATAATATAGGGACTCCCATGGAGCTTCAGCTCACCTGGGAATGCTCCTTCCCCTGATTGTGAGCTTGCTTTGGCTGCTGTGTTGACAACATCAAAACCAAGTCTTTTAAAACTGAAAGACCTGGGACAAAAATGAAACTTTGATGACTAACTCAACCACAGCAATGTGTAGCCCTTTTCATGCTTTTTTTCTTCTTATTAAATGATTCAATGATTAAATATTTCTGTGGTGTGCTACTGCTACCCAGTTGATCAGATATACAAGAGCAGCGGTTGTGAGGTAGCTAATCTGTTTTATCTGTCATTAATTCCTTTCCTTATGTAATTAATAAGAGCTACTGAAACTTCTGATGATGAACAAGGTAGCAGACCATATCCTTTGCAACTGCTGAATATGACATGCTTGTCAGTGCTGTTTGAAGAAATCTGTAAGATATCTCTTGGGATAGTGGTTATGATTACTTCCAACATCTGCTTTTATTGTTGTGCTTGGCTGGAAAAAAATGGTTTAGAGGAAACTGGCCTGCTTTACTGATGAAAGTTCTCCACATTCTGTATAACTTCTGGTCTTTCTCTTTCTATTGGAATAGAAGGAATCTTCTTCAGTGAAGTAATTTCATCTGGAATGGCAAACTCAATAAAATGTATGGGGAAAATCCCCAATAGTACACTTTAGGAGTGATTTTTACCATTCTAAAATGTCTTGTATTAAACATGAAGACAGAGAGCCACAAGGTTGCTTATTTAATCTCTGACTTCTGGACTTAACGACCTTCTGAACATCAAACTTGAAAGCAATGTCTTTGCTTGTAAGTAAAGGTGATCACCTGTAAATAGGTGATCTGGATTGGAAAGTATCAGATAGTTTAATGAGTCTGAGTTTGTGATGTAGATGTTTAAATTTGTAGGATGAAAAATCTGGTCTTTGTCGATGATAAAATTCCCAATGATTTCCATGAAATCAAGACACATTTTACAGGTCACATATAAGTTTTCAATTCCTCTAGACCTGTTGGATGCTAACTGTCTCCGTAGCTATTGCCTTTGGTGCTGTGCTCTTCAGGGTTCTGTCCCTGATGGTAACTCTTACAGACATTGGGTATAAAGTCTGGCAGTCTTTGACACTTAAAATTATACCTTATAGTGTGGCATTTCTCTAGGATGTGCTTGAAGGCATATTGTCCCATATGTTTTCTGATCAGCATTTTCCCTCTCCTGTAGTGGAAGATCAAACATAAGAATAGAATATCTAACATAAGAAAGTGTCTTTTTTCCCCCTTCTTATTATATATTGTTTCTTCTTGTATATTTATTTATTTTCTGTTTCTTTTTAAAGATCCAAGTACAAATCCAGCCTATTCAGAAGAAAGATTGGCTCATGAAGCTTTGCAATTAGAAAAGCGCTTGAGCTTGCTGTCCCATACAAGTCGCCAGGGCAGTGGTGGTAAGAAATATCTTTAATTAAATAAAAATATATGGTGTTCCTTCCTTTGCAGGCTTTAGAAGTGAGCATATGTATATAATTATAAGATGCTGATCTTAAAAGAAAAATGATAAAGAAATGGTCAAGAGATTTGATTTGGCTGATGTTTGTTGTGCGGCAGTTCTTTAACAGCATTGTTTAAAGTCCATTGACATAGACTGGAGTTTTTCTACTGAGCAGAGTGAGGTTTGGACACTATCAACACAGGAAAATCTTTTAGTATGCTGAATCCTACTGAATTTGTGCCTGTGCAATTTCAAAAGGATTTTCTGCATCAAGTTTGATATCTGCTTAAATACTTGACTTGCTCCAGCCTGTGAGATGAACTGACTGGCATAGTTCACACATCAGGCTTACAGCAGATTTTTGTAGTAAAACCTAAGACTCCTGTGCTTTGGTTCTAAGTGTTGTTATTCTTGCTCTTCGTGGCGGTATCTGTGCATGTCCCTTCTGGAGCTCTTTATATATTTAAGTAGAATTGATGTCTAGCACTGGATTTGGAAAAGGGCCTATGACCTGAACTGCCATTTGAATTGTTTAATAACAGAAGTTAGATCTTCAAAACATTGGCTTTGCTCTTGACTCTAAAGCCTACAGGCCTTTTTAAGGCTTGTGAAGATCCTCAAGAGCTTAATTATGTGTTTCTATGCGTGTCCATGGCTACTTTAGTCTTGACACTGCTGACTGATGTGGTTTGTGACTAAAATTCCACTGAGACTTCCTGAGGTTTTTCTTAGTTAGCATATAACTACTAGACTTGACTAGATTGATGTAAAACAAATGAGACTTGATAGAGACGCATGCCTGGCTTTTTTATCCAGTCACTCTGGTTAGAAAGCATATGGCCCAACTTTGTATACATTCTCTGCTTGAGTTTACTTGAATTTACGACGTGATTCTGCTAAGAACATTGTTATCCTCAGAGAATGAGGAATCCTACAGTAAAACTTTAATATTCTGTTAGTTTTGCATAGGAAAATTAAATATTTGTGATTATGGGAGATATTATAACAATAAGACTGTCCCTGTAGGTTTGGTGGGAAGACATTTGCCTGAACCTGAAGATCTAGGTCCTGCCACTGCATTGGAGAACATGTAGCTCTACATAGTTAGAGCATTTTCTTCAAGATTGTGAGACTGGACTTCCCTTCCAGAGTTTTAAAGTGCCTAGAATATTTGTCTAAGAGAAGTGATTTCAGATAAATTCAACAGTTTTACATTTTCAATAAAAATAGATGGTTTTGTAAGCAGAATAACTTTATTTAACAAGTATATTTCTTCTTCTGAGCATGTTGGTGAGAAACAGACTAATATTTTTGTAATTTGTGCCTTCCATGTAAAGAGCTGTATAATTTAATCTCAGTAGTTACACTTACGCCGAGGTCACAAGTCAGTGTCATGCAGTGGGCGCTGGATGAAAAAGGATCAGATTTCATGGGATAAACATTGCTATTTTGTGATAGTATATATCAAGAATTACTCCATGAAGAGCAAGAGAATTGTTCTAAACTTTTCCCTCAACACCTGAGAATAGAAATAGCCTAGTAACACCAGAAGCTCAGGTCACAATTAGCGGTGGACCCTTCCTCTTTCTACACCATCTGGCAACTTATTGCCCAGGGTTTAAAATGAATTAAAATTAATACCTACAAAATGATCCTGCTGTCAGCCTTTGTTGACACGTTGGTTTTATTAAGAAGGAAGTCCATATTGTGGTCTGTGTGTGCCACTACAAGAAAGTGGGGCTTTTTGTTTGTTTGGTTGGTTTTGTGTATGTGTTTGTGTGATGCTTGTGTTTTTTCCTTATGCCCTTCCATGCCAATGTTTAATTTTTTTCTTCCATCTTCTTTCTTGGATAGCAGTAGTTAACTGTAAAAGTGGCCTTCCTGCAAGTATCAGTAAGGAAAAAAAAAATCTTGTGATATGTGCATAAATGAATCATGGAAGATCTTTTTGTATGTAGATATTTAAACACTTTTATAATAATAGTATTCTCATTTTTGTTTGTTACGGTGATGTGTTGTTGCATTTTGGTATTTTATTTTTGCGTTCTCTTTAACATTCACTTTGATGTCATTCAGATAAGATTTGAATAGAGAAGAACAGTACAAATAAGATAATAATTTGGTTGATTCAGCTCAAATAGAAACATGGAAATGTATTACATGGCTTTGAGTTACAGTAACAAGGTTTTCTTCGGAGCATCCTCAGCTATTCTGAGTGTGGGACTTTGTGACTATTCCCTGTGATTTAACATAGCAGTATCTAAAATAAAACCAATTAACTGTACAGAAGTAAAATATGGCTGAAAAGGGGAGAACTTGGTGCATAAACTCTAAAAATTTAGCCCCGAATGCATTATGTTCCACAATGTGGTAGGGTTATGGCAAGGTAACCTATGATTTTCATTTTCTTTTTCCCATAGGGATAGGAATTATTGCAGGAATTCTGGCTTTCTGACAGAAGTTACCCTTACAAAAAGCAGATGGAATCTCAGGGTCCTTTCTGTTTGTACATACTTGCCATGCTTCAGTCTGTCGATTGTGTTTTAAACATAGTTTGATGTGTTTTCTTCTTTTCTAGGAGATGATAGAAGTCTTTCAAGCTCATCTTCAGATACCAGCCACTCAGATGTTAGCGTTGGGAGCAGATTGACAATTTGGCCTGAACAGTCTTCAGCCAGCACTTCTCAAGAGAGTCACGGACTGGCAGCTGCAAAGGGAATTCATCTTGGGGAAGAAAAGACCCTTCCAGAAGGGGCACGTGGCACCACTAAACCGCCTCCAAAGCCCCTCCGATCCAGACAGCTACAAGAAATAGGTCGTCAGAGTTCTTCCGACAGTGGAATAGCTACTGGTAGTCACTCTTCTTACTCTGGAAGCTTCTCTTCCTATGCCGGGAGCTTGGACATTTGCCGTGGTGATGAGTTTGGATCATTGCTAAGCCTGACATTGAACTTTCCTTCGGATCAGAATTTATGTACTTGTCCTCACAGTGAGCCCCAGAGAGGTGCGGGGTCAGAGTATCAGGTTCCCAGCTCTCTCAGACACATTTACGATATACCCAGGAGTTTGTTACAGGCAGCTTCTAAAGATGCGCAACCAAAGAGTGCAGATTCCATGTTACCCAAGGACCAGGCCCTGTCACCTCAAGGTGCTAGTGACCCAAAACTGCTACTACCACACTTGGAAGCACGGAGGGTACCTGAGCACAGCCAGGACAGAGGGAGGCCTTCATCCTTACTCACAGAAAGCACCAAGGACTCACGTGATGAGAAATATGCGGATTTTGTTTCGAGGTGGTCAGACACAAAACCACAAGGACAGGTGTCAGACTCCAAAAGTAGTGAGTTGTCACCACCTAGTGGGGCCTCAGCTGACCCCTATGACACATGTAGCCCCCACCTTGGGATGACAAGAGCTCTTTTTTCAGCTTGTCCAATCTGTGGTGGACTAAAGGTAAATACCTAACCATGAGCAGATGCTAACAAGCCTTACTTAACAGAGCATGCTTAATTTAAAACGACTTAAGTTGCAAGTCATAAATACTATTGTTTCCTTTATAATTTGAACAGATAATAACTTTTGTGTTGCTTACGCTCAAGTTGAGAGGTTTAGCACACAGTTTCCTCAAAATCTGTGCCTGATCAAGAAAACACTGAACAATATAGGCCATCAATCATTAGTTTTAAGTTGGCCAGTTTTGGGTTTGGGTGTATGTGAGCAGCTTACAGTGAGAGAAGCTTTACAGGCACAGAGAGCTGAATTTGTCATATAATAGTAATTTAGCATTAAGGACATTGATCTTACTGCTGGTATTTCAAAAGAAGAAAGAAGGGAAACCAAATAGTATGTGCTGCTCTTTAGGTGACCACAGTACATATTTTTTTAAATTTTATTGATGTTTTTCTTTTCTTTATCTTTGTAGTTTGAGCATGTCTTGCACAAGAAGCCAGATTAATGAAGCTTCTCACTGGGGAAAGAGAAGATACTCAAATTGGCGTGGCAATCCATAGCAGATCAGATAATCCAGTGTTATATTTATAACTGGCCAAACTTTAGAGGAGGTGTACAAAAGCTCATTAGTGTACACCAGGACAGAGTATTTGCAGGAAAAAAATATTTTTGATCACCAGTCACATAAAAGCTTAAAATCTGAAGCATGGAGATTCCTATGCCGTTCTAAACACATTTGCCATTATCTGTTACTATAACTGATATACCCATAAATTCTTTTTGAACACTGCTAAATTCTTGTCTTTTTATGGCAGTAAGCTTTATACATTAATTGTACACTGCATGGATGAAATATGTCTGTTTTTACCTATTCTGGAGAAGACTTTTTTGGGTGAATGTGTTTGTTGAACTAGAAGAAAGTAAAGCTGTTTGTGGTGTTAGCTGTTGAAAGGCTGTGAAGGTTAGAGAGAGTGCTCAAGTTAGGGAATGTGTGAAGTAGGGATTGAGCAACAGAGACTTTTGTTGGAGGAATTAAGTATTGCAATTGAAGTGTGTATGTTTTAATTGAGCATGTGGGATTACATAGATCACGGCTATGAAAAGGGCTTGAGTGTACAGTATGTTATAAAAGAAAAATTAAAATATTATAAACTTGGGGGATTATTTTCTTCTCATGAGGCATTTCATGCATTTGCACCATTGACTGCCTTCATGGTTCTGAAAACTAGAAAATGCTGTCTGCCTGAGGCACTTGTATAGCCTCTGTAACAGCACCTTGGGCGTTACTTTGCAGCATTTTGGGAAGTAGGAAGGCACTGGTGTGACAGGCTAAGGTTGTGTCTACACTGATCATTAGGATCAGTGTTCTTCCAAGGCCATCCTTGCCAGCTATCTGCACCAAAGGCCCTCACTAGCCCCCTAACCTAATTCTGAAAACTTGGCTGGGTGCAAGGCCTGAGATTCAGCCTTTCACTTGTTTTTATTGCAGAGCAGGCAGCAGGGTGCACAGCATTGGATCTGCTGCTGCCTTCCTGTGTCTGCTGCCTGTCGTTAGAAGGAAGTTGGGAAAAAAGGCACAAGACTGATTCCTAGAAGGGAACTGCTCTGCAATTGGAAATTTCCAAGGTGGCTTTGTTATGTGCTGCGAGGAAAGAATTAGTTAAGGTACAGTTAGCTCACATGGTCTAAATGTTTCTGGGTGATCTGAATTGTCAGTTTAGACCTGAATTTATCAAAGTTTACCCTGGACATCTGTGTCAGATAGGAAGCTAAAAGCGAGTATTCCACTGTGTATCTTCAAAGCCATTAAAGGCTAAATTATGTCACTCCTTCTTTAACTGCCTGTTGGCCCCAACAACATAAACGCCCACATCTTTTATTGCAAAGTGATGTCAGGTTTCATGGTGTTTCTAGTTGCCCTAATAATGTCAGTTGGCAAGAATTTCAGGAATTGTCAATAATTAAACAAATTTAGTGAGAGAAACAGTGGTGCAACACTCTTACTAACACTTGTTTTAGCATAACATGCACATCTGCTTCTTATCTTTTTTTTTTCCTACCCATTTGTAAGCATTTGGGAAAGAACTCTCATTAAATGGAATGATTCATGGTTTTGTTTTTACTTTTGAAAGAAAAAATAACCTTTTGATACATTGTCCTGAACTGTCAAGAGGAGTTATTTTAGCAGTGTTTAATGGACACCATCTTTGGCTTTTCTTGTGACGAATACCGTGAAAGCACAAATCCATATGTTGTAACTAAAAAAATAATTCTTATTCCTTGTGCTCTGAACAGAATATGTTTAAATTGCAGTTAGGCCCAGGAGGAGTTGATTTATGGATTAATGAAGACACCAGGTTTTAACGTTCATTCAAATTCATGTTCACATGGTTTTAGTGTGCCAGCGTTTGGAGTTCCTTTGCAATTTCAAGTTAAGCTGTTAATTAAATTATGTTGATGGTTTTTAAATGGCTACTATTTAAAGTGAGTGAGTGACCTGAATAGAGGAGAGTCTACAGCAGTTATAAAGGATATAAGCATTGGTTTGTTTTCTGCTCTATATGTAAACTTTGGCAAATCGAGGTTAGATTTGGGCATGCTGTCTGTGTGTGTTGGAGTTCAGCATGTGAAGAGTTGGGGGACAGGTTGCAGGATGAAGACATGCATATGTGGAAGGCATGGTGGCGTTCGTCATTAGGATTGACTTGGTTAAGAACCACCTGCTCCACTAATGACAAGGATGATGACGAACATAGGGAGAACATACTCTGGGAAAGTGCCAAGGTTCAAACAGAAAATAGGGCAAGGAAGCCTTTCTGTTTCACTTTGGATGAAGAATAGAACCAGCATGAATAAAGTCACTAAATATTGCTTCTATTATTTCTATATTGTATTTCATTTTAGACATTGGGGATTAATAAGCAAGCATGCAGGGTGTTTTGCTTTCTGTTGTATGTTACTGTAGTGTGCTCAAGATGTCCTTCTCTACAAACTTCACAAGGTGTGCCTTTGCTATGTAATTTTTGCCTAGGTGATTTCAGTGCTATAGATATTGCAGAGATGAATTCTTTGTGTATTGTAAGTGTATTTTGAGCTCAGAATGTTGGATTGTTATGGGATTCTGAGTAAGCTGTAGAGATTTATTATTAGACTTTACTTATATTTTCAACTACTTAGATAATACTAATTTGATGAACAGAATTTTACTGTACGCTTGTTGCTCTGTAACTTCATTTGATGCTATAGTTTGAGAAATTATGTCAACCTTTTTTATAGGGTGTCTTTTTTTTTACACCACCATTGTCTGTAAATTTTCATAGAAGTCTGAAAAATAAAATTATTTTCCAACTGTTTTTGTCCTTTTCCATCTGACAAGTACTGGCTTTAGTTTTGCTTTGCTTTTTGTCCCCTGACCCTCATCGTCTTGCAAGTTGAATTAATACGGCTGTCTCTTCACACTATTTAGTGTTATACTCAAATCACTGTTGACAGCTTGAAATGTGCCTATTAGTAGGAATGACTTTTATGTATTTCTAGCTCACCCTAAACTCATATTTATGTCAGTGGGAGTTCTTATGTATGTAGAAATATAGGCTTGATTACTGCTTTGGTAGTTAACTTGCCATGATAGAGGAGAAAAGAAAGTGTCAGTTTGTGTGTGGCTGTTATGATTAATCCTGTACTGATATTCATCCACCTACTTCAGTTTATCATTTAAAAATACTAAAGCCTTCTTGGGGGCAATGATCCAAAATTAGGAGCTGGTCTATCCAAATCTTCCATGAGGTACTTATATAGTTCCTGCTATCACAGTAACTATGCCTCAAGCATTGAATCTCCCAGCGTATCTGTAGTAAGAGGAAATATGGGAATGGTGTGGTCACGATGCACAAAAGAGTTTAGAGGTTTTGTCAGGTAGCAGGATCCACAGCTCTGAGTGGCTAAGAACCCTTCCCTGCACAATATAGGGAGATCTGGTACCTGCTTCGGGGGAATGTAGATCTTGGTTTAAGGGGGGAGTTGCTTTGATTAGGAAATTTACCTCTTTTAGTCTGTTCTGGAGAAAGAATGCTTTATTTTGCATTACAACTTTAAGAGAAGGCATGTGCATGTCTGTACTGTGCTCCTTGAGGAGGCACTTTACTCAGTATATCTAATCATACAGCACCAGGTCCCTGAAGGGCTTGTTAATCACATGCAACCTTTTGTGAGTGCAGTGTCTCTGGGTAGATCTAGATCTACTATGAATATCTGTGTTTCCCTTGTGCATTGTAGTCCAGGCAGAGACAAGCCTAGAGTGAAGCAAGGCTGATGTGTCCTCAGGCAGAGAAGGGGCTTGAACTCTAAAGAATATCTTGCACTGAGGTCTGTTTTGTGGTCTTGCCTGGACTGATTCAGCCAAGGTCATGAACAGCCTGTAACTGGGTTGGGAATACAGCCTTCATCTCCCAAGTCCTGTACAAAACCCTTAACACTGCATTTAGCCAGTGTGTCTCCTTTCATTGTACACACTGCTTTTGAAACTGGTAAAAGAGAAGGCCTATGACAAACTTTTTAGCAGGGCCTGTTGCAATAGAACAAGGGGTAATGGTTTTAAACTAAAAGAGGATAGATTTAGATGAGATATGAAGAAGAAATTTTTCACAGTGAGGGTGGTGAAACCCTGGCACAGGTTGCCCAGAGAGGTGGTAGACGCCCCATCCCTGGCAACATTCCAGGTCAGGTTGGACGGGGCTTTGAGCAACCTGATCCAGTTGGAGATGTCCCTGCTCCTTGGAGGGGGGTTGGACTAGAGGACCTTTGAAGGTCCCTTCCAATCCAAACCCTTCTATGATTCTATAAGGTGTAAACTTTGGCAGTAAAACCCAAGAAATAGTGTCTGCGGACTACATTGCCACATTCATGTAACTGAGAATGTTTTCTTTTTTTTGGCTTTTAATTAGGTACTTTTATAATGTAGTATTAAACCAGATACTAAAGAAATCATGATATATTGTTATATA